GTCACAAGGCTATGTGGCCAGAGCAGAAGCAATCGATGCCAAATATCCAGACTGTGATAAGGTCTTTGATTCAGTTTCTTCTTATTACCTGTAGGCAAAGTAGAGCTGTGTAGAGTGGATGGGATTCTTGTAAGTATTTTACAAGGGCTATTTGCAGTCTACACCCAGAGAATAATTTTTGTGATCTCTTTTTCCTGCCAAAGGTTGTATGGAAAGGGCACATGGTGCACCTAGACTTGAGCATTGTTTCATTCGTGATCTAAACGGCATGATTGTACTGAGTCTGGCTGGGATGGAGTTAACTTTAGCAGATTTAGATTAGATATGAGGAAAAGGTTCTTCACCAAGAGGATGGTTGGGCACTGGAACAGAATCTCCAGGGAAGTGGTTGCAGCATCAAGACTACCAGAGTTCAAGAAGTGCTTGGACAATGCTCTTGTGCACATGGTTGGATTCTTGGGGCTGTCCTGTGCAGGGCTAAGAGTTGGACTCAGTGATCTTTGTTGGTCCCTTCCAAGTCAGGATATTCTACGTTTGGTTTATGTTCTATCTGTAATTTTCTTCACAGCCACCCATACCTTGCTATGTTTTGGATTTGTGACTAAAGCAGTGTAAATGACACACCAGTGGATTTGGCTGTTGATGAGCTAGGTGTGCACAGTGTTATGGCTTTTCCTGTTTCCTACTCTGCCCCCACAGCAGCTAGGTCTGGGGTGGGCAAGAAGCTGGAAGGGCACACAACAGGGACAGCCAATGCAGACAAACCAAGAGGATATTCCCTGTTTGATGACACAGAATCATAGAATTTTACAGGCTGGAATGGACTTTACAGATCATCTAGTCCCAATCCCCCTGCCTCGGGCAGGGACACCTCCTACTAGACCAGGTTGCTCAAGGTCTCATCCAACCTGGCTTTGAATACTGCCAGGGTTGGGGCAGCCACCACTTCCCCGGGCAAGCTGTTCTCTCACCACCTTCACAATTAAAAACTTTTTCCTAAATTTCCCCTCTTTCAATTTATACCCATTGCCTCTTGCCCTGTCACTGTAGCTCCTAACAAAGAGTTCCTCTCCCGCTTCTCTGTAGACTCCCTTCAGATACTGGAAGGCTGTTATGAGGTCTCCACGCAGTCTTTTCTTCTGCAGGCTGAACAGCCCCAGCTTCCTCAGCCTGCCTTCATAGGGGAGGTGCTCCAGTCCCCTTATAAACTTCGTGGGCTCCTCTGGACTTGTTCCAACAGTTCCATGTCCTTCTTATGTTGAGGACACCAGAACTGCACACACTATTCCAGGGGGGGTCTCACAAGAGCAGAGTAGAGGGGGAGAATCACCTCTTTTGACCTGCTGGCCACACTCCTTTGGATGCAGCCCAGGATTTGGTTGCTTTTCACATCATGCTCAGCAATAAAAACGGAAGGGAGGGTTTTTTTGGATGCGGGCATTACTCAGAGGCTGTGTATTGGTCTGCTTGTTGTGCACGGTGATTGCCTCTGCATCACTTACTGGTTGGGTTTCTTTTTTCTTCCTTCAGTTATTAAACTTTGTCTTCGTTCACAGTTTTTCTTGCTTTTGTTTTTCCTGTTCTCTTCTCTGTCCCTCTGGGCTGGGGAGTGAGCGAGTGACTGTGAGGTGTTTAGTTGACAGCCACGGTCAACTGCCACAATAATGAGAGTGTAAAATTGTGAAGTTAGCAGAAAACACAAAGTTAGGCAATACGAAAAGCGTGCCTGAATACAATTTATGTCTCCATGCTAGTTGGAGCTGGATTACATGATTTCTTTCAGTGCTATGAAGTCTCCTCTGTTAAATGAAATAAGACTTTAATGACATGAAGAATGAGGTCTCCTTCCGCTGCTATCCTAGGCTATAAAGAGTTGTCCTAGTTAAGTTAGGCTCAGCTGCACTGTCAGCTTTTGCTGTGGATGAAGAGCATGTGCACATGATGACAGTGGCTCTGATTACTTTGGCTGCCTCAGACGCTGTCTGTTGGGTCTCACTGACTCCCTGTGTCGAGGGCAGTCGAGGGCAGCTCCAGTGAGCCAGTGAATGCTCTGCTTGACTCCCTGTACACCCTCCTCACCTGCAGTATGACCAGGTTTCCTTACTGGTTCAACCCTAAGTTTCCCTTAGCAGAGTTTCAGTCGCCAAGTTCCACCAAGCAGTGCAATAACACTACAACATCCTGAGCTGGGTACCTCTGAGGTGGGACCTGGCTCCAAGGTGCCCTGGGCTTTTAGACCCTCACGGTCTACCCCCACGCACCTGAGTCTTCTGGTCCTGCCCCTTTGCTGTGTCCTGCTGTGTCTCCCAGCTTCCATTCACCTGGCTGGCACCACCCATCTTCATGCCCTTTTGTCACCTCAAAGGTTAGCAGTTCATGGCCTCTTGTCTCAGGCTCCCTACCCAGAGTTTAATCGGCATTGCAATCTACATCTCTATCTGCAGGTTGAAAGCAGAGCTACCTAGGTCAGATGTATTCCTCAACACCTGCAATTGCGCCATGCTGTGATGCACGCTGATATTCAGTGATCTCATAGGAAGAGAATAGTCCACTAATACCACTACAGGCTGGATTCACAGTCAAAGTGGAGGTAGTTCTCCTAATGTTGCAGGATGACAAGCTGACTGGTTATTTTTTAACATTTCCTATCTGCCTTGTGGAGTAACACACGGCACACTACAGCACTGGAGGAATGCAGTGTTTCTGGGGCACTGTTTCACTCATGTAACTTCAGGGGGTCTTTAATTCAGTGTGGCTTTTGTAACTGTTAGCTGCAGATATGGCAATTTCCTTCACAGATTAAGGAAAGACGCTGTAACATAAATGACTGACTGGGTGTCACTGCTGTGTTGTGACAGGCTATCCTCTGAGAAGTAGTGATTGATGACATGTATAAAACTGAGCCATTATATGCACTGTTTATACTGAAATAGTACTTAAGATGTGGGCTGTCAGTCAAAGCACTGATTACTTACACAGTGCTATAGTAAGTGGTGGTGGGTGCAGTGAACAAGGTACCAGAGTAAATGTTTGTTTTGAAGCTTTAAATAGGGTTGTCTCTTTATTTCCAGGCTGTATCTAGCCATACTAAAAGGATCCATTCTGTACCTTGCCTGAAGCATGACACTTCACTGCAGGCTGATAGGAGCTCTTTCATACTGGCATCGGTATTAATATGGGTTTCTGAATCAGACTGATGACCTTTCTTTTTGCCCTTGGGCACAGTTCAAGCAAACCCCAGTGCTCTGTGGCAGCATATTTTCATGGCTACAGAAGCCCTCAGAGGCCTCGGTTGCAGATGCCCACTTCTCTGTGCTTTGCAGAGTGTTTGAGGACCCCCCTCAAGAGGTTTCATCAAGTACTGTGGATGCAGCAGAGAGATTGCAGTGAAGACACAGGACCTGGTCCTGAGAGTTATAAACTCAGTCCTGTTTCTGTCCTTTTGGGTAGTCCTGGGGCAAGTCACCCCGCTGTGCCTCTGTCTGCAGATGTGGTGTGGAGGTGATGGGACAAACGTTCTTGAGAGTCACTCCGTAGATGGGTGGAAGGGGAAGCTGCCCAGCTGTGCACTGACGTTTCTGCACCAAATGAAACCTTGCAGGTGGGCTAGGGAAGGACGTAGGGCTACATTCGTTTCCTGCTACCTCCTCCCCTGTTAATAGGCTTGCAGAGATGAGAAGAGCAAGTGTCTGAGTTCTGGTGCAAAGCTGTGGGTGTGCCACCTGGTTTGACACAAGTTGGCCTGAATGACAGGCAGTGGGAACTTCACCTTGACTAATCCCACTTTGTGGTGTGTATCTTGGGTGGGAAACACCTCGTGACTGTTGCTACACCACTGCTAAAAGAGCACCAAAATATGTGGGTTTTGCAGTGAGACAGAACAGAAAACAACTTGCTTTTTTTCCCCACCTCTTCTGCTTATTACATGGAAGAGGGAGAAAAGAAGTGTTCCATGCACAATTGCAGAGAATAGGCAAATAACTGAATTTTTCTTTCTTTGCATTTGCTGTTAATTTTCTAAAACCATTAATATTTATTACACTCAGAATGCTAGTTACATCTATGTGCTTGTAAACTGCATCCTTGTGCAAGCGGATAGTTTGCAAATGCCAGTCCTTAAGTACACACACATCACATATGTAAAAAGCTTTTCCTTTTTGTGCTTATCTTATGATCAGCCAGAAAATCAGCTGTCAGTAACAGCAATTGTAGCAGTAGCATCTGAATATTGTGTCTTGATGTGTCACTGATTGTAAGGATCTTTGAGTATATTCAAAAACCCATTGCTCTTATAGAGAAATATAAAGTTGTTTCCAGAATCTGATTTTTCTGCAAAATGAAAATAAATGGTCTTAATTGTACTTCCCCTGTCAAGGTACAGTTTAATTACAAAGAAAGACTATATAATCATGTTTTGTTCCATATCTTCTAATGTGAACATATTGACTATATTTTTTTTATTCTTGTACTTTTGTAAATTGCACATTGTTCTGTAGTAGTTTTACCTGCCAACTTCTTTTTAGGATGTGCTGCATTATTTTGTACTGTACATTTCTGACTATATTTAGCTCTTTAAAAATCTGTCTGATTAAAGATAATTATCACTGCCACAAATATGATGCTTTAGTTATTTTTTGTAGCAAAAATATGAAACCACTATGACCTCTGGTTTCACAAATGAAACAATTCAGAATGGGCTTATTACTGTGATTGGGCCCTTCACACAGCTTTGGGATTCCTAGAAAATCCTTCACCTTCCATTTGCTATAAAAAGCAGATGACCTCTAATTCCACTGTTTTCCACAAATCTCCACGCAGAAAACTGTACCTCAGTGTTATAAGGACCTCATTAGTTTTGTTGACATCAACTTTAGTTTCCTGTCATACTCTAATACATCACTTGTGAAACTGATGTTGGCTTTTCAGTCATGTGACAGGTACGTACAGATGTTTTCTAGTGCTCTTTGTGAAATTGATTTTAATTTTCTTTTCCTTTTAAGGAGATTTGTTTTAGGGACAAGCACATCACACAAACTCACTGCTTCTGCTTTCTTGTGTCTTTCCATTCTTCCTCTTCCAGACCAGGATGAGAGAGCAGCAGAGCTCAGCAGGGAGCAGAATGAGAAGACCATTCGCAGCACACAGACGGCTCTCCGCAATTTCCGAGAGTTCCTCATCTCCAAGTACCCCTCTGAGACCCGTGAGATCTACGTCATTCCCTGCAAAGAGCTTGATGCCTACCTTGCTTCCTTCTTTGTGGATGCCAGGCAAAAGGATGGGTCTGAATATGAGCCAAATAGTCTGGCCAACTATCAGTGTGGACTCGAGCGGTATCTCAAAGAGCACAGGTATGGGTACAGTATTACGAGGGATAAGGAGTTTAAGAGGTCCCAGGAAGCCCTCAAACAAAAGCAGATAGAGCTGAGGTGCAAAGGCAAAGGAAACAAGCCACACAAATCCATGAAGCTCACATTTGCTGATGAACTTATCCTGCGCAAAAGAGGCTTATTGAGCCGATACAATCCTGAAGGGCTGCTAAACCTTGTCTGGCTTAACAACACTAAGGCATTTGGACACTGCACAGGCTTCCATGGGTCCACCCTCAAGTGGGGAGACATCCGGCTGCGGGTGACAGAGACTGGGTTGGAGTACCTGGAGTGGATGGGGCCAGACAATGGAGACATCAGTGCTAAGAGCAAGAGAGGAGGGACAGACTCTCGGGTGTACGCCACCCAGCACTCCCCCCAGACCTGCCCCGTGCAAGACTACAAGGAGTATGCCCAGCGTCGCCCTCCAGCCATGCGCTACGAGGATGCGCCTTTCTACCTGTCCATCAAGCCTGTCGTCAACTTGGCTGCACTTCACTGGTACAATTG